CGTTGTTGCCGCCGCCGCCGCCGCCGCCGCTCCGCGTGGGGCTGCCATGTTGCTGCTGCTGCTTCAGCTGGAACGGCACCGTCGCCCGCATGGGCTGCAGGCGACTCCCGGCTCCCCCGGCCGTGGCGACCGCGCCGCCCCCCAGGGAGCCGGCCGGCGTGGGGGACCCATTGCGCCTCACCCGCTGGGACATGGCCCCCCTCCCCGGGGGCCGCGCGAGACGGGGGCTTTGTTGTTGTTGGGTGGCAGGGGGAGGCCCTCGAGGCCGGGGGCCGGAGGGAAGGCCCTGGCGACGGGGTGACGAGGCCGGAACGGGGGCGCGCGGGCCGCGGTCGGCAGAACGAGGTGCCACTGCCGCCGCCGCCGCCGCTCCGCCTCATCAACAATAGTGTCTCCGCCGCCGGCCCCGCCCCCCGCGCGCGCCCATTGGCGCCGCGTCAGCGCGCTCGAGCCGCTCCGCCGCGCCCATTGGCTGCGAGCGCGCGGGTCCCGGCCCCCGCCTTAGAGAGCCCGGGTTTGCGCGGAGACCGTCTGCTCTTTAAAGAGAAAGAGACCCGCCCCCGGGGAAGACGGGCCGTGTGTGTAGAGTGTGCGCGAGCGCGTGTGTGTGTGTGTACACGTGAGTGTACGCTTGCGCGCCCCGGGCCACCCGCGTCCTTCCCTTCCCACTGGGGGGAGCCCTGGGGACTCAGACTCCGGCATCTTGCCAAAGGGAATGTCCCGAACCAGAGCGGTCCCCAGGGCTGTCTGAAGTCTTTTCTCCATAACTTGTTTCCCAACCTCAGTGTCCGGGCAGAGGCCGTGTACCTGCGTCTCTTTCTGTCGTTTTTTTCATGGTCTTTTTGTTCTGTCCTGTTTGCATCAACGTTTGACCAGGGCTCAAAGGAGAAGAAATTGAATTAATCTTACTGGCATTGTACACTTCGTCCCCCCCCCCTTTTTTTTTTTTTGGCTCTACGAAGAGCCCCTTCTCAGAAAGATTAAAATTGTTGGTTAGAATGTGGTTTTAGATTGTATCTGTGAAGTCCAGTTACCAAATGCTATTGCTACCCTCCTGTATCTCAAGCAATCAGGGGTTTAATTTAATCAGCTACTTCACAGTTCCCTGGTGTCGGAAAGATATCTACTACCTTACAAGTCTGTGAAGCGCCATAGTTTACAAAGGACCGTATTTGATCCTCACAATCACTGTTTGAGACACAACTGGACCAGCCATTCATCTTTTTGCCTAGTGGAGGGAACAAGTCTTTGTAGTATGGGCAAAAACATCTGGAAAGCAGGCAGTAACACCAATTGTAAAATACCTCAGGGGCTCCTCCCTAAGATAAAACAATGGTGGACCCATACCCCACATACTCACCTCTCAGGTGGTAATGCCTGCCCATGACCTCTTTTCTCTTTACTACTTTATTAGATGTACATTCCAGACAGATTTCATCTTGTAAAAACGTGGGAGTGGAAGGCACGGTATGATTCGCTCTGGACCTGAAATTCTACTGGGTACCTGGGCACTGTCATGGAAAGCCTTTGAAGACCCAGAGAAGAGATTCAGATCCCAGATCCACCACTTACTCTGTGACCTCGGATAAGTCACTAGCCAGTTTCCTTATCTGTAAAATGCAGTTAAACAATACCTTCTGCTTCATACAATGGTGATTGTTAACCAAGGGTTAAATGAGAATGTGGTGTGGAGAAGTGCTCAACACCCCCAGAGTCCCCATGTGGTTCAGAGGCCCACATCTCTCCTGATCACCCGCTCCCCTTTCTCCTTTCTCACCCAGCACAGAGAGAGGCCCCAAACCCTTAGCCCAGTAACCTGCCTTAAGTCGGCTGCTGCTCTGGATACACCTGACTTCACTGCCCATCCCACAACCTGGAGTGAAGGCAAAAGCAGCTTCTCAGGAGACAGGACACAAGGGAAACTGCCAACCAGATCCCTGCAGAGAGCTGTCTGCTCTTAAAGCAATGAGTAAGAGAGAAGATAAGCCTTTAAATAAGATGTCATGGAAGCCGTATCTAGCACTCTGTCCTGTTGATACATATTTACTGAATTAACCAAGGGAGTTCAGCAGCCCTAGTGTCTTAGGCTTCCTAATCAATTACTTTTGATGTCACCAAACTAGAGGCCTGTTTGTTGGTGGCGTGAGACCTTCAGCTTTTCTGAGCTAAAGTACTGATTTCAGCACAGAAGTTCATGAGATCAAAGACTTAAAGTGTTCTTGTCTCAACCATGAGTTCACCTTTTGCTTCTCGTCACATTTCCTATAGAAACTCAAACTCCACAGCTCCAGGAAATGCCTCTTTTTCATCTTATTTGATAGCTTACCTCCTCACTCACCAGTTTGGGGCTTAACTTTAAACAAATGAGAGCGCTTCAACTGAAGCAGGCATTAACCATTTCAGCCCCCTTTGTACTAATGGATATTTGTGATGACTTGTAAATGAAACTTTGAAGGTATGAAATCATCAAAGAATGCTAAAAAAAAAAAAAAAAAAAAATGCTTGGATACCTTAGAACTCTTCAGTCTGTTTTTACGATTTAATGGCAATGCATGACAGCATCATTTACCCATGCCTTTGCTTCATTATCTGTTGTTGAAGATTCAAACAATGTGCTTCAAGGTGGTGTATTGGTCTTCAGTTTGCTAGTTTATCTATGCAGAGAGTCCTTGTGTTTCAAAGATCAACAAAATAAACATGTCTCCCTCTGGTTTAACCCTGTTCTTCTTAGGATGTAATTCAAATTTTCCATTTTCTCTCCAAGGTTGAAATGTGACTGTGTGAAGTTGAAGAAGCAACATACTGGAAGTGGTTTGTCTGTATTTAAACTCCAGAAGACAAAATTATTGATGGGCTTGTTTGTTTCTGCACTTTTTCAACTCTTTAAAATGATCTTGTTATGGTAAAGGAGACTGAGTTTTGAGAAAAGTTTATCTTCCTGTCATTTTTTTCTTCCTATAGTTTTAGTAGAATCATCTGTATCTTTTTATAAATCTCTAAAATGTCATTGAATGGAACATTATGCAGCCACAAAATGATAATTATGAAGTCATAAATTCCTTTCACTTTAAAATGGAAAAAATAAAAATTATGCATCCATTATAGCTGCAACAATACAAAAGTTTGTATGCATTATGAGCAAATATTGGAGGGTAAAATACTGGTAAGAAAATAAAATAGTCATTTTTTGTGTGTGTGAGGAAGATCAGCCCTGAGCTACCATCCATGCTAATCCTCCTCTTTTTGCTGAGGAAGACTGGCTCTGAGCTAACATCTATTGCCAATTCTCCTCCTTTTTTTTTCCCAAAGCCCCAGTAGATAGTTGTATGTCATAGTTGCACATCCTTCTAGTTGCTGTACGTGGGATGCGGCCTCAGCATGGCCAGAGAAGTGGTGCATTGGTGCGCGCCCGGGATCCAAACCCGGGCCGCCAGTAGCAGAGCGCGCGCACTTAACCACTAAGCCACGGGGCCAGCCCAAAATAGTCATTTTTAAGATGGGATTTTGGGAGGTGTTTTTCCACAAGAAATGTTATTATATGATTTCCTAATAAAAGGGGAGAATTATCAGAACTTCAATTGCTGAGTGATGTTCTTAAAATCTGACTGCTACTTCACTGAGACTTGCCTTAGACCATTTCCTCAAGGCCTTCCATGGCACCACACATTCCGGTTTTACTCTTACCTCTCTGACTGCTACTTGGTCACTTTTGCTGGCTCCTTCTCCATCTGACTCTTAAATGGTGAGAGGACCTCCGGACTCTATCTCAAGCCTTTCGTTCCACTCACTCCCTAGAATGATAGATTCATTCATGCCCGGAATTCCACTGACCATCACGCTGCCATCCATTCAGCTGCCTGCTTGGCGTCTCTCCTTGTATATCTCACAGGTATACCTTGTCCACAACTAAATCCATCATCATCCCACCACTCACCCACCGACAACACCTGCTTCCTCTTCCACTTTCCCATTATCTCAATAAACGGTGCCACTGTCTACTCAGGGGTCTAAATCAAAAACCTGGAAGTCATCTTGGCTCTCTCGCTCCCTCTCCTGCAAGTCCAATGAATCACTGTATCATAAGGACTCCAGCTTCTAAATCTCTCGTGACGCTGCCACTGTTCTCCAGACCCACCGTCTCTCTAGCCACGCCGCTCTCTTCTCTGGCCTATGCTCTTAGGCTAATCTAGCCAGTCTCCCGGGGTCGTCTCTGCCCTGGTCTGCTTCTCCAAGCCCCCTATTCCCCACCTTACTCCATTCCCCACATATCTATGGTGGTCTTTTAACAGCACAAACTTAATCACCTTACTCTACTGCCTAAAGCTTTCCGCTTCTCTTAGGATGAAGCTCCCAAGCCTGAGGCCACCGCCATCCCATGGCCACCTCTTCCTCTCTAGGCTCCAGCCACTCTGGTCTTCTTTGGTCTCCCCCACGTATTCCCTACTCTCATCCTGAGGCTTTCACACTTGTTATTTCCTCCGCCTAGAACACTCCTCACTCTCGTCACTTGGCCAACTCTTGATCAGTTTTAAGATCAGAGAGGCCTGGATTGTCTCGCTCCTCACTTAAATTAGCTTCCCTGGGTTTACAGTAACACCATACTTCCCTGTTGAAGTCATCATAACACGGTTATCTGTTCAGTATCTGTATTTCCTTCTCAATGTTAAGCTTTACAAGAGCTTGTTCCCTCAACCAATAGTCACTGGCAGGCTTCTGTGTGCAGAGCACCGTGAGAGGCATTGGCTCTACAGCAATGAACAAACCCACAGGCTCCTTGTCCTCTTGGACTTACATCTGCTGGAGACAGACAATGAGCAAGAGGCATGTGTGCACACACACGTAACCACACACATGAATAAGTTATCAACTGCAAAGTTCTATCAAGGAAACCATGGAGTGCCATGGAAGACAGGCAACAAAGGAGACCTAGCTAAGCTAGATAGGTCTTTTTGAAAAGGTGACACTTAGGATGAGACCTAAAAGATAAGAATGAGCCATCCATGGAAAAAACATCCCACATGGGGAATAGCTATATAGAGACCAAGAAAGGAAAAAGCTCTGTGTGTTTAAGGAACCAAAGGGGTTCAGCAAAGTGTCAGCAAACGGGAGAGTAGTTCGGAGATAAGATTGGAGATAGAGGCTAGATGATACAGAGATTAGAGCAGATCCCAAAAATAAAAATGAAAAGCAATCTAAGATTTACTGAAATCTATGAAATAAGTGCAAAAGGGAAA